CTCACCCGCACCTCATGCCACTGGTTCTTTCAGTTCTCACCTTCTGCAGTGGGAATGTTTGTTTGTCTAACTCTTCTTTTTATCTTTGTTTTCTTTGACTACAAAGAAACTGATTGTCACTGTTAAGAGAAATAATTTAGTACAGAAATGCTTAATATAGACAGTGAAAGTTTCAGAGGGGGGTGTTGTGGATTTTAGTCCAATTTCTTTCAGTTTCGATTTTAGTGAGCTTTCAGTATCTTTTCTTGCAGGCTGTAACTAAGCCTTTTAAAACTGTGAATGGTATCATACCGTTCTGAAACTTGATTTTTCTCACTCAAGGTTTTACAGATGTCACTGTTTCTCTTCACCCAGCACATCTGTGAGTTGTGGAGGGGAAACTGAGGCTCAGGGAATAACAAGCTCCCCTGCCAGTTGCTCCCTAAGGTTCATCCTTGTTCTCTGCTGTATCTGGTGGGGGCTGGCCGTTGGGAACCAATTGTTAACTTTCCCAAGTTAAATTGCATCCCTTATATTTGGCCTTCATGAGGTTTGGCATTGTTTAAAACTTGAGAGCTGGGGTGTTTGGTGTGAGCTCCTTCCAGAACACAGCTGCTGCATCTCTGCCGCTGTCTCTCGGAGACATGCACCAGGAAGTAGCTCGGGCCGAGAGCAGAGTGAGGTCTCTGTGCTGGATGGGAAGACGGTGCGCCTGTCAGCCGGGGGTGGTGGAGGGTGTGGAGCTTGGCCGGGGCCCAGTGCGGCTGGCCTCTGGGCCCTGTCGTCACCGGGGCAGTTGCCGTACAAGCTCAGGCCCTTCTTTCTGCACCACCCTGAGGACAGCGGCTGTGCCGTGTGCAGGCCCCCACCTGTCCGCGCGCCCCTGGCCTCCGTGCGTCTCAGCCCGTCTCACTCCCGCGTTCTTCCTCCAGACCTGCTCCGGCTCTGTCCCAAAAAGTCAAGTCCATCTTTTCTCCGCTGCTCAGACAAAAATTAAGAACAGCAACACAGCAACCCTCTCTCGCCTCCTGTCTAGCTGCTGGTTCGTTGTTGTCCAGATCCTCTGACGTTCACCCATCATTTGGTCATGTCTCCCTGCTGCTCTGCCCCAGTGTGTCCCCAGATCAACCACATGATCCTTTAGAACAGATTGGACCCCTCTGCCCCCGACTTACCCTGCCCTCTGTGCTCCACCTGAGGTCAGTCTGCACTCAGCACCCTCCTTCTGCCACCACCTCGAGCTCACGCCCTTCTTTGGGCTCTGCAAAAAGCACACCACGTCATCTGCTTTTCAGAGCATCAGCTCTTGTCACTTCTTCCAAACACATAGTCCTAAGCCTCACTTTCCTCATGCCTGAAACAAGAGTATTACTAGTAGAGTTTTTACTGTTATGTTAGTAGCAGTATACATAGCATTTCCTAGTACAGAGAGTATTAATGATAACCTCAGGGTTAAGACTTATGCCTCTCTAAACCTCCCCTCTCCCAAATGAACTAGCCTGTGTGGGGTGCTAGTCCCCTGAGTCCTGTTTAAAAAATATTGGTTCCTGCCATAGCACAATCACCCTTTTGGAGTTATTTTAGAACAGATTTTCCACCTGAGGTCCTCAGACCAGTTGGAAGGTGTCATTTAACTGAAAGCATCTTTTGGTAGAAGCAGTGGAGATCTGCACCCCTCCCAAAGCCGTGTGTCAGCATTCTGCCTATTGCTGGGGTTTGTCTGTGCTGCGTGCTTGGGAAGCCTCTGGTGTAGCTGGAGCTTGTCCCTCTTGGGCCCGAGGATTACTTGGGCTGTGTCCTGCTGACCAGCCAGGTTTTGTCTGGAGAGAGTGAGAAGGGGGACTGAAGCCCCCTGGGTTCCGGCCCTGCTCCCCAGGTAGCAGCCTGTGCCTCGGTTAGCCTTGCGCCCTGGTGGTGCCTCTTGGTGGTGGGCTTGCTGCCCTTGGGCTCTGCCCTGCAGGCAACAGCCGGCTCGGGATCCTGCCTCAGTTAGAGGGGCTGCTCTCTGCGGGTCAGCAGTTCTCCTCCAGCCTGTGGTGGAGCTTATGCGCTGTCGTCTGGCACCGCTGATCTGCTGTCCCTTCGTTCTCTTCCCCTCACTCTCCAGGGGTTTTGAAGCAGACCCTAATTTGCCGGTTGGGGCGATATATCCTCTTCAGCTGCTCTTCAGAAAGTACCCTAGTGCTCCTCCTCACTGCGTCTTGCAGAAATTGTGCGTCCTGCTTCATTCCTAGGTCACACTTCATTCCTCAAGGCTGGTTTCTTCCTCACAACTTTTTTTTTTTTGCTGTGCCTGCAAGGCGGTGGCCGCCAGCCCTGATGTGCCGGATTGGGTCACAGGTCCTTCCTGCTGAGAGGAGGGTGGGGCCCCTCCTTCCTCGCACCTGCCCTCCCCAGGAGCAGTTGCCTGGCGGGATCGAGATTGGCTGGCGGCAGGCCCCATGTGGGCACTAAAGCAACCGCCTTCCCCAGTGGAGGAGGAGGCTCCACCCAAGGAGGGGGAGGTCAGAGCCTGAGACTTCATCCCCCCTCCACCCCCCTGCTGTCCCCGCCCCCTCCAGCTGTGCACGTCCTTCGCGTCATGGGGGAAGGGTGCAGCAGCCGGGTCCCCCAACCCCAGCAGCCTGCCAGAGGCCCAGGGAGTGTCTGGGGTTGGCAGAGTTCCAGCCCCTCAGCTTCCGAGTGAGCTGCCCTGACGCTGCACCCTGAGCACCAGCAGACGGGTCTCCCAGGTCCTCAGCTGGGGACCCTGACCAGATCTGAGTCTGGAGGGAGCAGCCCCATGGGTGTTAAACTCCACTCTGGCCCCTTGGGACCACTTGTCTCACACCAGTGACAGTGAAATGAGGTCACTGGGGCAGTGCCTTGCTGGTCTGATGGCCTCATGCAGAGCGACCTCCTTGTCCTCACTCCCCAGCCTTCCCCCACCCCAACCTTGTTCTTCATATTGACAATTGGGAGGAAGGACTTCGGACTGAAACTGGGGTTCAGATTGGAGCCTGGGGCTTACCACTCTGGAGGCTGTGCTGGGGGGCCCTCTCGGCTGGCCAGACCGAGAGCTTCTCCCTAAGGGACAGAATTTCCTTTGACTTGTCTGAGATCCTGGACTCCCCACATCTTTTACGCCCAGTAGGCTCCTCTCTGGTCCTGGACGCACAGGACCACTATTCACAGCGACCACTGAGGTCACCGCTCTCATCCAATTCCCCAAATGTTGGAGCAGCTCCTGTTGTTTAGGCAGTGCCTCAAAGGAAAGTGACCGGTCCCTTCCACGATGAGGGAGGGGAGGGGAGGGTGACTTCCATTCAGGGCATTGACTGATCTGCAGCTCATGGGGAAACAGGACAGACTCGGCAGTCTGACGGTTTGTGGGATATAGGGGGCTGAGGTGGTGTGGCAGGTGCAGGCTGGGGTGCCAGGAGGGTTTGGGGGCAGGTGGAGGCCAAGTTGATAGCCTCTGCCCTTGAGCTTCAGAATTCTCAAGCTCTGCCTGGAATGGGGAGCACCCTGGGGGGTGACATGGCCATCGGGAACCCTGCTTGATTCCACCCTTTTGGACTGCCTGTGGGAGCAGATGTCTGAGTGCCCAGGGTCGGCCACGCTGGCCTAACACGTGTCAGACGGACGCTCTGCCTCCTGCGCCAGGAGCATGGAGCAGCTGTCACTTCCTTTCCTTTCTGAGTCCAAGGCAGTGCCTTGCGCTGTTGCTCATTTGTGAAGTCGGCTCCTTTAAAGAGGTGGCAGATGAGTTGCCTCAGGAGTGTGTCGCACATACAGGATGTGGCTCCTTTGCTGCCCTGTGCCACCCCCTAGATTCCAGAAGTTGGGCTCTGGACTGATTCTGCCTGACCCTACCCAGGACAGACCTCCCAGGGGTTTTGCTGGGGAGAAACCGGGGTGCTGGGTCCCCTGCCTACGTGGACACAGCCAGGAGGTCTTCAGTGTAGGCACACCACGGGGGCGGTCGGGGTTCCCCGAGGGGCTGCCGTGTTGGTAGGTGTGGGCATTGACTGTCCTGTGATGAGCCCTTGGTGGCTTCTTAGGTCCTGACCGGTGGAACTCTGGTCTCTAGTGTCCTGCCCCATTGGGACATCAAGGCTGGTCTCTGAGCGGCCCCTTTAAGAGCAAGTACCTGTGTCCCAGACTGGGTTGTGGAATGCCAGCAGTCTCCCTGCAAACAGCCATCACTGCGGTCTTCCTTCACTGTCTCTGTGAGGGTTAACAACACTTCAGTTTGTTGTCTGGAACCGGTTCAGACTGGTTTTCTGGAAAGTGCTTTGTCTCTCAGACTGAATCCTGGGAAGGGTCATGTGGAGCCCAGTGATGTCATGGGATCAAAACCTGACTCGGCGGTTTTTTTTTTTTTGCCCCTTTTTATTTTCTTTCTTCTTTCAATCAAGATATGTGTGTGCTACAGGTACAGGGCCTCACCCCATTCAGAGTTCATTCTGTCGGCAGTCAAAGGGTTAAATGTGATCTCCCTCCGCCCCCTGCTGAGGTGAGCTGGCTATGAGGAGGCTGCCCCTGGCTGTAGGGAGAAGCAGGGTCAGCCCTCATCAGGGCAGGGCTGGACTTAGGCTGTGACCCTGCTCCTGCGACAGCATGGTGCTCCCTTCCTGGATTCCAGATAGCTCACATCCAGTGCTCTAGATCCCACTGGAGGTGGTCAGATCTAGAACAGTTTCTTCTATTTGCTCTTGAGTCTGGAACGCAGAGATTACCCCCTTCTTTCTAACAAACAGCCACCTTCCCTCGTTCCTGTCCCAGTCCCTGTAGGTTTCTGGTCCCAGACAGGGTGATGCGTAGCTCGGCTTTTCAGATGCTCTGTTGCTTCTGTTCAAGGCTGTGAGGAAATGTTCTGGGCACGCTTGTGGGCCCTTCATTTGTTGTACCCACTTCTGCCATCATCACATGGTGAGGCAGACACTTCCAAGCTGACACTGTGAGAAGTTTCTAAGAAGATAGCTACTTCATTGTGCCCAGTTTACATGTCGTGTTTTCTCCTTCCCCTAAAGTTCAGAATGACTGAAGAAGCATGCCGGACACGGAGTCAGAAGCGAGCGCTTGAACGGGACCCAGTGGAGGATGATGTGGAGAGCAAGAAGATAAAAATGGAGAGAGGAGTGTTGGCCTCAGATTTAAATGCTGACGGAGACACACGAGTGACGCCTGAGTCGGGAGCAGGCCCAGCCCAAGGGCTGCTGAGGGGCACAGAGGCGACGGCCGTGGGCAGAGGCGAAGGGCAGGTGGGCGACGGGCCTGTGGACATGCGAACCACGCACAGGTGAGCGAGGAGCCGGGTGCCAGGGGCGGCTGGGGTGAGCAGGTGGAGGCCGCCCGTCAAGCCTACGGGAAGCAGCTTCTGGTGGGTGATCGTGGAGGCCGCTGCGGGCTCCAGCTCCGACACCCGCCCCACTGTCCTGGCCAAGGGACCGTCCTCCTGGGGCCCAGCCGTCTGTAGTGCGAGGCGGGTCTCACACGACAGGGGTGGCGGCAAGTCTCAACGTGCACCTGTGTCCCGGCTCTGTGCTTCTGTTTTATGGGAGACTTGAGTTTTTCATTTGGCCTTGCCTCCCTGCTTTTCACCTCTAGGGCACCGGGGGCCAGAGATGCTGCCGCCCCTGCCTGGTCACCGGGCTGTGGGCAGTCTGGAGCCACCCCTCCTCCTAGGTGGGGGACGTGGGAGGAGAAGCCCCTCTTGCCAGATTCGGTACCGTGTGCTTCACTGGTTTCCCCTTAATCAGTACTGATGGCTTCAAGAGCAACTTTCCAATCCTCAGCTTGAAAGAAATAAGACTCAGTGTACCACCCCGTTTCTTTTCCCCCTATGAAAAGAATTGCAGCTCCCCACCCCACCCCATCCGGCCCTGCGCCACTCCTCCCTTCAGAGCTCAGGTGAGCAGTGTTCTCGGCGGAGTTCACCCCTTAGGTCCTGTGAGCCAGCAGCTGGTGGGCATGTGGGTGTGGCCACAGCCTCCTGAGCAGGCCACAGCCTTCTGTGGTTCATCTCTTGTCTTCCTTAGCGCCTCCTCTGCACACTCCCTTCCGGATCTGTGCGCCTGGGGTGGGGGAGGGGGCAGTAGTGGGAGGGGCAGCTCTGGAGAACCTGGGTGCTCTTCCCTTTGTTGCGCTGATGAATCCCACTGAGGGACCCCAGCCTGCAGGCTTTGTGTTAAATTCACTGCGGGCCCAGACGTTTGGTGTTGTAAGGACCTCAGAGGTTGTCTGACTCAGTGTTTCTTGGCTTTAAGGACTCTTGCCTCCTCGAGATAAATGGGGACTCCACCCCCTCCTGCTGGGGAAGCAGTTAGCTGGGCCGGTGTGCTTTCTGCTCTTGCTACCCAGAAAGGCGTTTTCTGTCTGACTCTGCTTTCTGCCCTCCCTGTTTTAAAACCAGAGGCCTCTTTTCAAGTTCTGGAAATTAAATTGTGAGTTTGGGTCTGCTTTTCCTTTACCATTGTCACGTGTGGGTGAAGAGAAGGAAGAGCCCGCATTTGTGGAGACTTGCTGGGTCCCTCTTATGTTCCTAGGCGGCAGTAGTTTTAATTGCTAAGTTGTGACCGACTGTTGCAACCCCATGGACCGTAACCCACCAGGCTCCTCCATCCAGGGCATTTCCCAGGCAAGAATAGTTAAGTGATTGCCATTTCCTTCTCTAGGGGATCTTCCTGACTCAGGGATCAAACCTGCACCTATTGCATTGCAGACAGTCTCCTGCATTGTAGGCGGATTCTTTACCACTGAGCTGCTAAGGAAACTCTGTTTCTAGGTGTCTGGTCTGCATTTTTTCCCTGTAATCACCATGCTCCCCTGTAGGGCAGGCCAGGGAACTGTGAGGTTAAGTGAAGGAGCATAAAAGAATGTGGAGAGCAAGCGACAGACTAACCCAGGCACACAGAGCACGGGCCCTGTGGGACTAGAGACACCCTGGTGTCTCCAGGCACGAAGCATGTGAGATTGTGGGGAGAGCCTGGCTTTGGCAGAGTAAGGGTCAGCTCACACTCCCTGGCTGACCTTGGGTGGATGACCTTAGTCTGTGTTTCTTCATTTGTGAAATAGGTGATAATGTCTGCTTTGCATCTCTAGGTGACAGATGTGTACGCAGAAATTGACCATGGTGCGTGGCGTGAGAGTGTTGGTGACAAGTACTCTTCGGTTTTAAACTTTACTTAAAATAAGATGTCTCATATAGAGCTTAGTGTCTCCTTGAGTGCCCACACAGAATGTTCTGTCTGGTTTGTTGGAGAATTTTGACAGAATAATAGTATCAAGTCTAGCCCAGAACCATTCTAGAACTAATGTTTTTGGGGGTGGGTGGCCATGGTTTCTGTGTTAGAAGCTGTCAGTCTTTGGATCCTCATTGAGAGCATCTGGCTCATCCCTTGGGAACCTCCATACAGAGAATTTCATTTGATTGAGGTGTAGCATACATGATAAAAAGTAGACATGTGCCACTTGGTATCCTTCACAAACTGATTTCTTTCTTGTAGCTCAAATCAAGAAATATAATGTGGGTTCAGGATGGGGAACACATGTAAATCCATGGCTGATTCATGTCAATGTATGGCAAAAGCCACTACAATATCGTGGAGTGATTGGCCTCCAACTAATAAAAATAAATGAAAAAAATTAAAGAAAAAAAAAAAGAAATATAATGTACCCCTCATGCCCACTTGTCACTACCCTCTTAGTAACCACTCTATTGACTTTGAACAGCAGAGATTAGTTTTTCCACTTTAAATAATTGGAATTATGTAGTCCGTAGCCTTTGCTTACTTTCTTTCAGCATGATGTTGTGAAGTTTACTTAGGTTGTTGTCTTTAATATTTTATTTATTTTTGAGTCTTAGTTGCACATGTGGGCTCTTTCATTGTGGTGTGTGGGCTTAGTTGCCCTCCTGCATGTGGGATCTTAGTTCCCCCACCAGGGGTTGGACCCATGTCCCCTGCACTGGAAGGCAGATTCTTAACCAGGGGACCACCACGGAAGTCCCAGATGTACTTGTGTTGTTGAATGTCGGAATAATCTTTTTTTCAGTGCCATGTAGTATTTTTCTAGAATTTCTGTTTGGCTCTTTTTATTTTATTAATTAATTCTTATTGCAGTATAATTGCTTTACAGTGTTTTGTTAGCTTGTACTGCTTAGCGAAATGAATCAACCGTACATACAATATATCCCTTCCCTTTTGGGTTTCCATCCTATTTAGGACACCACAGTGCATTAAGTAGAGTTCCCTGTGCTATATAGTATGTTCCAATCAGTTGTCTATTTTATATAGCATCTCAATAATGTGTATGTGTCTATCCCACTCTCTAATTCATCCAGAACACCCCTTTCCCCCTGGTCTGGCTCTTTTTAAAAACTGCTGCTTTCGTTCACGCTGTCCTGTTCTTAGGACCCAGTGTAAGCATGTTAGACTAGAGGGGGTTTCTGGTGGCTTCTGGCAGAGAGAATTTCCTTTTTCTTTAAGGAAGTGGCTGGTGAGTTTAAATCAAGATACAACTTAAAAAACTACTTTGGGGGATTTAGAGCATGTGGAAATTGATATAGCAGGATGAGTTTTCTCTTTCTCTACAGTTCCTCTTTTCATCTCTGGCATTTTTTTCTGCCATAGTCTTCCAATGTGTATGTTTTATTTTCAAAATGAATCAAGACTGGAAGGCAGCTTCCAGCAGTGATTGAGTAAAGAGAGATTGTCAAATCCTTTCCCCCCAAAAAACAGCATAAAGCAGGACAGAATTGACAGCGCAGCCCTCCCCCCCTCCCTGAATCAACCATTTCAGCATCCTGGAAATGGACGAGAAGCATGCAACAATCTGAGAAGGGTTTATGCTTCAGAAACTGCTGAAATTTTGGGTTAAAATGGTGAGAATCTGTGTGACTTAACCTGGTGCTGCTCTCATGCCCTCTGCCCAGCCCTATTCATAGGGAGGTTCTGCCTAGCCAGTGCAGGCTGTAACGGGTGAGAAAGGACTCACTCAGTTTCGAGTGGTGGGCAACAGCCTTGGCTGAAGTGACAGTTTTGAAGATAAACACGTGGGGAGGGACAGTGGCTGTGTTAGCCCACGTTCGCAGGCATATTTGGGGCAGGAGAGAAAAACTGTTTGAAGGAAGAATCCCCAGAAATGTATCTGAGGAGAAGCTTATCCAGGAAGCTCAACAAATCTCAAATAGCATATATGCAGAGATCTGTACCTAGCACATCATAGTCAAACTGTTACAAGCCACAGACAAAGAGAAAATATCGAAAGTAGCAAGAGAATAACTCATGACATACAGGGGAAGCATTAATGTAATTAACAGCTGACTTCTCACCTGAGACATTCAAATGGAAACCAGAAGGGAACCGAATGGCATTCAGAATACTCAAAGAAGAAAACTATCAACCCAGAATTCTCAATGCATCAAAACTGTCCCTCAGAAACAAAAGCAGAAAGACATTTTCAGATAAACAGAGACCGAGAGGATTTGTTCCTGGCAGATCTGCTGGTTCTTCAAGCTGAAAGAAAATGACATGTTGGTAACTTACGTTCACAGGAAGAAATAAAGAGCTCTGGAAAAGGTAAATGTGGGCTACTGTAAAAGACTTTTTCCCCCCTCATTTCTTCTTAGTTAAAAGATATATCATCTAAAGCATTAACTGTAACACTGGGTAGAGTTGACAAAAACGACCATAGCTCTTTGGCAATTGATCAAAAGTATATAACAATCTGTTGTATTTATAACATATATAGATATATAATGTATGGGACAACAGTAGTACAGAAGGAATGAAATGGAGCTGTATCGGAATAAAGTGTTTCCATTTTACCAGGATCAGGCTAGTGTTGATCTGAAGCAGATTGTGATCTTAGTAAAATGCTTATTGTAATCCCTAGGGCAACCATTAAGAAAATAGCTTTAAAATATTGTTTAAAAAATCAACAGAAGAATTTAGTGGTACATTAAATATTTGACATAAAAGAAAGCAGTCAGGAACTGAAGAACAAAAAAGAAGGAAGACATGTAGAAAACAAATAGCAAAATGATATATGTGTAAATCCACTCAGGTAAAAAATATATTAAATGTGAATGGTTTAAACACTTCTATCAAAAGGCAGAGATTGTCAGACTAGATAAAAAGGCAAGATCAAGCTTAATTATATATTGTCTATAAGAGACACCCCTTAGATCCTTAGATAAAAGGATGAGGAAAGAGACACCGTAAGTAACCATAAGAAAACTAGAATGACTGTATTAATATCAGATAAAATTAACTTTGGCTTCCCAGGTGGCACAGTGGT